AAGATTGTTATAGAGGACTGTATTTTTCTATGCATAGGACCATTTGTTTTCACACATTTTTCAAGCTGAAAATGAGGGGCCAGCTTGTACACAGAGTGTGTTTCAAATATTTGTGTTCCTTTCATGTTGGGCTAAACACAATTAGGAAATCTTATACATGAAGAGTACAGTACATAGACTAATGAAGAGGACCTAAGATAAAAGGGGGGTGGGGGGAGCCACATATACTATCATAGGCTACCTCTCAAAGGGTTGCTAGTGGATCAGTAGACTGCAGTTGAGTCGATGACCGCAAGAGATGTACACAAATAAAATTTCATGTACAAGTGCTGAAACCTTTACAGTATTGTACTTTTATTTTTTTTTTAAATATATAATTAACATTCTCTGTCTGCCTCATTAATAATATCTTTTTCTCTTTCATTTTCTCTGTTGTACACACACATTTACATTGTTTATACGTAGCAACACCTCGATAGATGAGTGAGCGCAAAAGGAGTCTTCTGATTATCAAAAGAGGTCCCTTCTCTCTGAATGTTTCTGCCCTTTTACCTTCTATACCGGGGAGGAGGAGGGGGGGGGGGGGGGGGGGGGGGGTTGGGTGTCCAATCCAGGTTACGACTCCAAAGTGCTATTCTCCTGCTGTGTGGCTAAATCTTGCTAATATTAAATTACACATGAGTTTACCATTGGTTACAACACACCCCCATCTTGATCATGATTAATTATTATTTTCTCAGGAGCCCCGTTGCCCTCAGGAAGGTGTCCACCCATCTTCTTTAGTCACCCCCCCCCCCCCCCCCCCCCCCCTCCTTTTCCTGAGCCGGGAACAATTCAGCTCCACTCTGTCTGCCACTTAGTCTTTTCCACCTTCATGCAGTTAGTTCGCTGTATTCTCATACCCCATTTTTGCCTTACTTCAACTAGCATTGAAGGAGAGAGTTTATATATACCATACGTATCAGCTATATTAGAAATACGGTGTTCATCAGCACAAGAGGGACAACACTGTCCATAAACAAAACCCCAATGATCAACAGACTTGAACACCTCATCACGAAGGCTGCCAGCACTACCAATTGCAAAGCCATTTGTGGATACGGAATAAAGAAATCTTACATATGAATACTAGAAATGATCTTTTACAAGGATACCAGATGATAGATCTTATACAGGGATACAAGTTGATAATCCCATATATAGGGATACCAGAAATTAATAACAAACAGACGTGAAATAAACTGTCTCTAAAAAGAATAACGTTATGTCTGAATCCCAAATCTATCATATCATACACAAAATTCACGTACACTATTGTTAACTCTTTGAGCCCCAGCAGGTTTAGCATCACAGGCCCAAGGGGTAGTCAAGAGAGATGTAAAATTGGCACATCATGCGTTCATTGAGCTTCTAAGTAGGAATCTATGAACGTATGATGCGTTCCTTGGGACTCAAAGAGTTAATTATAGTTTATCACTAAACAATGTTATATTATTCATGGATGCTTGACAGTAATTTATCATCTGACAAACAATTTTTATTTATGGTTGCCAGAAAAAAATCTATCATATTATAAAATAAATGTTACATACGAATTTTAAGAACTAATTATCATGTGCAACAAATTAAATGTTATATATGGATGCTAGGAACTAATCTATCATGTGACAAACTAAACGTTACACATGAATTTCAAGAACTAATCTATTATGTGACAAACTAAATGTTATATATGAATTTCAAGAACTAATCTATCATGTGACAAACTAAATGTTATAAATGAATTTCAAGAACTAATATATCATTTGACAAACTAAACATTTTATATGAATTTCAAGAACTAATCTTTCATGTCACAAATAAATGTTATAAATGAATTTTAAGAACTAATGTATCATGTGACAAACTAAATGTTACATATGAATTTCAGGAACTAATCTCTCATGTGACAAACTAAATTTTACACAAACATTTAAAATACTAACTTATCATGTAACAGATAAATGTTATATGTGAATTTCAACAACTAATCTATCATTTTACAAAAACAATAATATATATGAATGCCAAGAACCAAGGTATCATTTCACAAATTAATCTCTTATACAGAGCAGATTGATAATGTGAACTCACCGGGATCCAACAAATAGTTCTTCTTATTAGAAATTCCTCTTATCCAGATCAGAGTTCAAGCATGAAAAACGTCAGGTATAAATTAATTCTTCCCAAGAGAAATTCACCATATCCGAGATCGTCTTAAGTGGTTTGCCCTTCATTCATACAGAAAGGTCAATAAAAGAGCCTCAATTTTACACCATCGAGGCATATGACGCTAGACCCATAATTTTAACAGACCAATCCACCCTCTGCAGGTGATGTGGTCAACATCCAGCCAGCCACTTTTACTTCCCATGACCTCGGGGCCTGCAGACGGGCATCTAGCCAATGTGCTACCATGGCTCGCATTTAGTGTTAAAAGATTTCGCCTGGCAGTAACAGATCCCATTCATTCCAAAGCCTGACACATTCCATGTGCTATGAAACATCCTTCCACACACAACCACCCACCCACCGACCTAGTTTACCTTCCCACACAGAAAACAATCCAACTTTCTCATTATTCCTATATTCTACCAGAGTAAACAATCCAACTTCCTCAGAACGTGCCTCTACACACATCAGATTAACAATTTAACAATCCAACTTCCTCAGAACGTGCCTCTACACACATCAGATTAACAATTTAACAATCCAACTTCCTCAGAACGTGCCTCTACACACATCAGATTAACAATTTAACAATCCAACTTCCTCAGAACGTGCCTCTACACACATCAGATTAACAATTTAACAATCCAACTTCCTCAGAACGTGCCTCTACACACATCAGATTAACAATTTAACAATCCAACTTCCTCAGAACGTGCCTCTACACACATCAGATTAACAATTTAACAATCCAACTTCCTCAGAACGTGCCTCTACACACATCAGATTAACAATTTAACAATCCAACTTCCTCAGAACGTGCCTCTACACACATCAGATTAACAATTTAACAATCCAACTTCCTCAGAACGTGCCTCTACACACATCAGATTAACAATTTAACAATCCAACTTCCTCAGAGTTTATTATTACCTCCACACAGAGTGAATCTTAACTTTTGCGTCACACATTTATTCATTCATTCTAACTTTCTCAGAGCTTACCTCTTCACACATAAGAGTTAACAGTCTAACTTAATTAGAGCTTAACCCACTAAATACCAAGCCTGTTAACCCTTGCACTTTCCCAGATACCATGTATTTCAGTGTGTACAAAAAATGCCCTAGCTTTACAACCATTTAACATAAACTCATAGTCAAGTAAAGAACCCTCTTCCACATCTTTAGGCGTATTGGGCAAATAGGTCTCGACCTATAATTTACAGACCAACCGGCACTTGGTGGTGATGTGCTCAACATCACGCCGGCCGCCTTTACTTTCCAGGACTGCACCTGGTACCCACTCAAGGCTGGGTCGACCTGGGAGCCAAGGTCTATTCTGAAGAAGGCCAGGTTATGTCAGGACCCGAACTCATGACCTTCCAATCCGCAAGCGAGTGTCTAGCCTCTACACCATGGCGACTCCCAACATTAACCCATTATATTTTCTTATTTTTGCCTCACTGTGAAAATAAATTCTGTAAATTCAGTGCCTGTTTGCCTTTTTGCACCAAGAACTTCTGATACCGTATGACTGAACTGTCAAATTTAAAAAATCCCAGAAAAGATCCTTTCCCAAAATGTGCATGGCAGAATAGCAGCATGGTTAACATTGTGAATTTCACTGTGAAATGGTGTTCACTAAACTCTAAGCCACAGAGTATAAGGTACACAGTCTACACTAACAGGTGTATCTAAAAATACACACCTGAAGCACACATGAAAAGGTTTTTATGAACTAATGTAACATAACACACCTACCTCCAACTGCCATGCCACTGCTACAAGCGAAACGTCGTCTTCCAGTTTCGATGTTTTTTGTTGTTTTTTATGGCAGTTCGTAAGAAATATCAAAGTCCCAGTCATCAGACTGTTTTGAAATATCCTCAGCTTCTTTCTTTGATTTAAAACAATACAGAAAGTATCCCACAGTATCATAAATATTTGCTAAACTGTTCAACCATGCTGCTCTAACGATCAGCTTCTATTATCAAAACTTACGACTGCTGAATCGACATGGGAGCGCACCCACACCAACAACAACAAAAGTTTGTGGAAAATTTACTACAAAATATTTGCCTTACAGAAACATGGAGGAATGAAGGGACTAACGGTTTCAACTACATTTATCACAAAAGTCGCAATTTTACCATTGTGGCAAGCATCCAAAGTTACGATTACAGTGTCTGGGATCATGGTAGACAGGTGTAAATGTCGGGCGATGCATCATGTCATTGCATGGTAGCCAGTGGGTCAAAAATTGAACTGCCTCAGAGCTTAAAAATTTTATTTCCTCAGAGCTTAAAAATTTCATTTCCTCAGAGCTTAAAAATTTCCATTTCCTCAGAGCTTAAAAATCTAACTTCCTCGAATCTTACTTCTTCTTACACGGAAAAAAATCTAACTTCCTCAGAGCTTTCCCTCACACCCACACATACACATAACCTCCCCACATAAAGGATTAACAATCTAACTTCCCCAGAGCTTACCAACCCCTGCGCACATACACATAACCCCCTCACACAAAGAGTTAACAATCTAACTTTCCCAGATATTCCTCCACGCACACAAACCTTCTAACATTCAGATTAGCAACCTAATTTCCCCACAGCTTACCTACACAAACACAGTGAACCTCCTGACACAAAGAGCTTACCTCCATACACATACAGACATAACCTCCTCACACAAAGAGCTTACCTCCATACACATACAGAGTTAACAATGCAACTTCCTCACACATTGGATTAACTACATATACAATATCCTAGGAGTTAACCTGGAAACACAAAGTTAACTGCGAAAAGCCGAGAAGGTACTGAATGACCTCTGGTTGGTAATCCATGGAGACGACCAATCATTGACAGGAATGTCTCTGTTATAAACCCTCGAAGCAGTCTTATTGTACACAGGAAGTACCTCATTTGCCTCGCTGGACATCACCTGCCAAATTTGTCATTATCTTAAAAAAACTGGCATTTTATGTAACCAAATGACATGCTATTTTCTTATTCAATGTGTGGTATATTCGGATAAGGGGGCCACACTGGTGTAGCGGCTAGACGCAGCCGGACTTTATAAAGCTTCCAATCGACCCAGCCTGGACTGGATACCAGGTACAGTCCTGGGAATTAAAGGCGGCCGGCATGATGCTGACCACAGCACCCACCAAGTGCCGATTGGTCTATAAAATATATAGGTCTAGCCCTATATGCCCTATATGCCTGAAGGATGGGAAAAGATCCTTTACTTTTACTTTTTCTTTGTATATCTGGTTATCTGTATACTTTCATATTTTATACAGAGCTAGTTTTAACAGACGGCTGAGAATCCAGGATAATCAGTAAACAAGCCAAACTATTTCTTGAGGCCTCGGAGATGAGGTTTTAAAGACAAATCCTCAGAATTTCTTGAGTGGCAAAAAAAGAGGTGAGGAAATGAAGACAACTTATCACAAACATCAGAAAGAGATAGTTCATCACTTTTTATTTGTGTCATGTTACGAGAAGAAGGAAACTTGGACATGGTGTGACCACTGAAAAGGTTTGTGGAAAAACAGAGACAGAGGTACGAACGAATGAGCGGATGAACGAACGAACAAACAAACTTTATTTTCAAAGGGTCACAAATTGGGTAGACAGTATGAAACAATTCTTGATAGCCTTTTGTCATGGCAGTGTGTCAACACATGAACTGATGCGTGCTGTTGAAGACCACAGGTTGTGAAAATGCATGATCCCTCACGCCAGTCGGCAAAGAACTTGGTGCTAATGATTTTTGTAATCATTAAAGACATTCCCCACGTGGGTTCCATGGCCCCACCTTGGAGAAGAGAAAGAACAGACCCACTGCCCTCCTAACAAGCATGTCATGAAAGTCTACTGATGAGGGGTGTTTCTTGAGAAGTCAGAGTGCATCTGCCAGAGAGGAAAGGAACCAACAGTCTGTAAAACAAATAAGCAATGCATCTGCCAGAGAGGAAAGGAACCAACAGTCTGTAAAACAAATAAGCAACATTTGTAAAATGGATGTGCATGCAAAACTAAAGTTCTAGAACAAGATTAAAGTCTAGAGGTGTATACAAACAACTAGAGCTGGAGTTTACAGTCGGTGAATGCTAAGAAGAAGAAGAAGAAGACTAAAGAAATGAAATGACAATTATGTAAATTTGAAAACAAATGGCTAAGGAAATTGATTAACATTGTATGGGATGAATTTAAGAAAGGGAAAGAAATAACAGAAATGCCTGGATGGCCGCTTGTATCAACTATTATAAGAGAAATGCCTGGATGGCCACTTGTTTCAATAATTACAAGAGAATTGCCTGGATTTCCGCTTGTATCAACAATTATAAGAGAAATATCTGGATGGCCGCTTGTATCAACAATTATAAGAGAAATGCCTGGATGGCCGCTTGTATAAACTATTATAAGAGAAATGCCTGGATGGCCGCTTGTATCAACAATTATAAGAGAAATGCCTGGATGGCCATTTGTATCAACAATTATAAGAGAAATGCCTGGATGGCCGCTTGTATTAACAATTATAAGAGAAATGCCTGGATAACCGCTTGTATCAACAATTACAAGAGAAATGCCTGGATGGCCGCTTGTATCAACAATTATAAGAGAAATGCCTGGATGGCCGTTTGTATAAACTATTATAAGAGAAATGCCTGGATGGCCGCTTGTATAAACTATTATAAGAGAAATGCCTGGATGGCCGCTTGTATTAACAATTATAAGAGAAATGCCTGGATGGCTGCTTGTATCAACAATTATAAGAGAAATGCCTGGATGGCTGCTTGTATCAACAATTATAAGAGAAATATCTGGATGGCTGCTTGTATCAACAATTATAAGAGAAATGCCTGGATGGCTGCTTGTATAAACTATTAAAAGAGAAATGCCTGGATGGTCGCTTGTATTACCAATTATAAGAGAAATGCCTGGATGGCCGCTTGTATTACCAATTATAAGAGAAATGCCTGGATAACCGATTGTATCAACAATTATAAGAGAAATACCTGGATGGCTGCTTGTATCAACAATTATAAGAGAAATGCCTGGATGGCTGCTTGTATCAACAATTATAAGAGAAATGCCTGGATGGCCGCTTGTATCAACAATTATAAAAGAAATGCCTGGATGGCCGCTTGTATCAAATATTATAAAAGAAATGCCTGGATGGCCACTTGTATCAACAATTATAAGAGAAATACCTGGATGGCCATTTGTATTAACAATTATAAGAGAAATGCCTCGATGGCCATTTGTATCAACAATTATAAGAGAAATGCCTGGATGGCCGCTTGTATCAAATATTATAAGAGAAATGCCTGGATGGCTGCTTGTATCAACAATTATAAGAGAAATACCTGGATGGCCATTTGTATCAACAATTAAAAGAGAAATGCCTGGATGGCCATTTGTATCAACAATTATAAGAGAAATGCCTGGATGGCCATTTGTATCAACAATTATAAGAGAAATGCCTGGATGGCCGCTTGTATCAAATATTATAAGAGAAATGCCTGGATGGCTGCTTGTATCAACAATTATAAGAGAAATACCTGGATGGCCATTTGTATCAACAATTATAAGAGAAATGCCTGGATAACCGCTTGTATCAACAATTACAAGAGAAATGCCTGGATGGCCGCTTGTATCAACAATTATAAGAGAAATGCATTGATGGCCGCTTGTATCAACAATTATAAGAGAAATGCCTGGATGGCTGCTTGTATCAACAATTATAAGAGAAATACCTGGATGGCCATTTGTATCAACAATTATAAAAGAAATGCCTGGATGGCTGCTTGTATCAACAATTATAAGAGAATTGCCTGGATGGCTGCTTGAATCAACAATTATAAGAGAAATGCCTGGATGGCCATTTGTATCAACAATTATCAGAGAAATGCCTGGATGGCCGCTTGTATCAAAAATTATAAGAGAAATGCCTGGATGGCCGCTTGTATCAACAATTATAAGAGAAATGCCTGGATGGCCGCTTGTATCAACAATTATAAGAGAAATATCTGGATGGCCGCTTGTATCAACAATTATAAGAGAAATGCCTGGATGGCCGCTTGTATAAACTATTATAAGAGAAATGTCTGGATGGCCGCTTGAATTAACAATTATAGGAGAAATGCCTGGATAACTGCTTGTATCAACAATTATAAGAGAAATGCCTGGATGGCTGCTTGTATCAACAATTATAAGAGAAATGCCTGGATGGCTGCTTGTATCAACAATTATAAGAGAAATGCCTGGATGGCCGCTTGTATCAACAATTATAAGAGAAATGCCTGGATGGCCGCTTGTATCAAATATTATAAAAGAAATGCCTGGATGGCCACTTGTATCAACAATTATAAGAGAAATACCTGGATGGCCATTTGTATCAACAATTATAAGAGAAATGCCTGGATGGCCATTTGTATCAACAATTATAAGAGAAATGCCTGGATGGCCATTTGTATCAACAATTATAAGAGAAATGCCTGGATGGCCGCTTGTATCAAATATTATAAGAGAAATGCCTGGATGGCCGCTTGTATCAAATATTATAAGAGAAATGCCTGGATGGCCACTTGTATCAACAATTATAAGAGAAATACCTGGATGGCCATTTGTATCAACAATTATAAGAGAAATGCCTGGATGGCCATTTGTATCAACAATTATAAGAGAAATACCTGGATGGCCATTTGTATCAACAATTATAAGAGAAATGCCTGGATGGCTCTTGTATCAAAAATTATAAGAGAAATGCCTGGATGGCTGCTTGTATCAAAAATTATAAGAGAAATGCCTGGATGGCTGCTTGTATCAAAAATTATAAGAGAAATACCTGGATAGCTATTTGTATCAACAATTAAAAGAGAAATGCCTGGATGGCCGCTTGTATCAAAAATTATAAGAGAAATACCTGGATGGCCATTTGTATTAACAATTATAAGAGAAATGCCTGGATGGCCATTTGTATCAACAATTATAAGAGAAATGCCTGGATGGCCGCTTGTATCAACAATTATAAGAGAAATGCCTGGATGGCCGCTTGTATCAACAATTATAAGAGAAATGCCTGGATGGCCACTTGTATCAACAATTATAAGAGAAATGCCTGGATGGCCGCTTGTATCAAAAATTATAAGAGAAATGCCTGGATGGCTGCTTGTATCAAGAATTATCAGAGAAATGCCTGGATGGCTGCTTGTATCAAGAATTATAAGACAAAAAAGAAGACACTAAACTGGGGAGATCATGAGGTGCAATGGACAAAGCAGGCATTGAAATGAGAAACAAACTGATTAAGCAAATAAGAACATTCAAGAGAAGTCCCAAGATGACAGTTGTTGACAGGGGCCAAAAGTGGTGGAATGGATTCTATCCATGATTTCGAAATCATCACAAAGGCCTGAAGGAAACACAAGACTAGACTGCAAGCCCCATGCGTAAAATAGGCACAATAGGATGATGATGATGATATTTTGTAATACTGCAAATTTCTGTTATAAAAAAAAAGAGATCATCATCACAGCTCTCAGACACTTCCACAAGTGCTTAGTCTCCTCCTACTGATCACTCAAGCAGAGTTTCAACAAAGGACATGAACTGGGTATCCAAACACCAAACAACAAAAACAAGGGTGACTTTTCTCGAGCCGATACTAAAAACTAAGTGGCTGCAACATAAAACAGAACCAATATGTTCAAAGAAGGAAAATAAACTGTGCATTCTTTTATGTTACAAAGACATACATGGCATCTTCTTTTGATCCTTTGATTGTTTCATTTCTCACCACACCTTTGAATGTCATATTTTTCACAAATCCGTTTCTTTCATCATGTTGAACCAGAGCTAAACTACACCAAGAGACAACAAATCACATGATGTAAAGACTACCGCAAGATAGTGCACCACACAGAGCCCTGTCACATACACACAATGGAAGCAGAGTCAGAGGTCGCCTATGTAAGTGACAGATAGATGGATAGATGGAATATCTAAGGCCATGAATACCCCCATCTAGGAAGCTCACAAGGATCAAACTAAATGTCTCTTCAGCAACTGCCATTGAAAGGCAGAACAGGACTAGAGAAATGAAGAAACTAGAAGACACCTAGGACAGAAACCAGTCAAACAATTAATTAAAGACCAAAAGAAAATATGGTTTTGCCATCTGATGAGAACGCTCTGGTACTACCCCATCCCCAACACTTCCCTGAAGGTTCTGGAGAAGAGATGATGATAAAGAAAGATCAATTCTGCTCAAATGGTTTTATCACATTGAGTATCTCAGCAGTAGTGCAGCAGGTATAAGCCTGTCTCCAGCCCAAAGGTCTTAGGTTCAAACCAGCATCGAGCTTGATTTTTTTTTTTATGACTTTGGCTACCAGGTTAATTTAGCCTCAACTGGATACCAGTGATAAAGTCCTGGGAAGTAAAGGTGGCTGGCTGATGTTGACCGCATCACTCATCAAGTAACGATTTTTCTTTAAAAATATGAGTCTTGTCCCATATGCTGATTCATCACAGGTGTAAAAACACCAAAAAAAAGTTCTTGACCTACTTTCTGATAACATGCAGCTGCTGATCATAGACTGTGAAGAGGCATGATCACCCTTGCCAATAGGCAAGACACTTAACAGAAATGACCTACTTATCCCTCAAATGAATTCAACATGGTTTCTTACCTTCAAATAGATAATAGCATCCGTCCCGTATCCTTCAAACGAGCTCAACACAATGTCCCCTTGGAAGTATCGTGCGTACAGACGGGAAAGAGGAAGCCCATAACCGTACCCAGCCAGCGGAGCACTGGCGCTTTCAGATCTGGCGGGCTGGGGTGCCGTGCTGTACAGATACTGAAACAACAGATCCTGTTTGGACCGAGGGATTCCTCCACCCTGATCGGAGATCTGAGAGATAAGAACAACAGTGTTTAGACTGCATTTGTTTGTGTCATCTGCCTCTTCCTATAGTCCATATGAAGCAGAATTGGAAGTCATGAATAATTCAAAGCCTTCTATCTCGTGTACTTTCAATCATTTCTGACACAGATGATCTTTCATGCCATGATGTCAAGCTGTCCAGCATCTTCTCTCTCAATCTCCCTCTGCCTATTTTTGCCTCCAGCTTTCCCACAATCACCGTGCACACGTTTTCTCCTTCTCATGATACGACCAAAGAATGTAGTCTGTCTCCTTCTCATGATACGACCAAAGAATGTAGTCTGTCTCCTTCTCATGACACGACCAAAGAATGCAGTCTGTCTCCTTCTGATGTGGGTAACCAGTTCTCTTTGCGTGTTTATTTCCTCCTTCTTCTTCTTCGAATTCACCAGCAATAAACTCCGACAGAAAGTTCTGGTTGTTCATCCACTTCTGGAGTCTAGTCCTGTTCCAAAACCTGAGGCATTTTTTACAGATCTCCCTCATGTGCATGCAGACTGTTGGCTCCTTGCCTTTCAGGCAGCTGCACTCCAACTTTGAAGAAAGCTCCTAATTAGCTGACTTCTACAACATGCTTTTCAGTAGGCAGTGGGTCTTCTTGCTTTCCCAACTATGGGGCCCCGGAACACACACGGAGAAAATAATTTCAAGACATCTTTATTAATCTTTTAATCTGTCCAGGTGTTCTTAACACTGTGATCTGCCTGACCACGTGTCAATGTTTAAGGACCTCATTTACATGTTCAGCAACCCAATCTAGGTTAAATGAAGTCATAGCAGGTAAGTGATGGATATAAGTTGAGAGCAGCTGAGAAGTTTTCAGAAATGGTCCCCATGTTGGTTGTGACAGGCAGAAGATGGCACTATAGACACAATGGCGAGGACAATACACCTAGTATGGGCACATAATGGCATAATGGCATCCGTCAGTCCCGGGGGACTATGGAGATGTGCCGCTGGCTTTGGGAACAGCATCTGCTGTGACTGTAAAGTCAGATGCGGGAATGGCAGTCTTTGCCACACAGGATACACACAAAAGCAGAAACTCTCTCGTTGTGAGGCAGTTTTACTCTCCGGTGTCTCCTCTCCACAGCTCGTTGTGTTCGGTTTCTTTCAAAATGTGACAGTCCGTCTTTCACTTTCTGTCTCCATAGTAGTCGATCTGCAGCTGATTTTTCCCATGTCTCTGTGCCTATGTTGGTATCTATTAGGTCACGTTTGCATACATCTTTATAGCGCAGCTTTGGCCTTCCTGTAGGTCTATTCCCAGTTACCAATTCACCATACAGGAGATCTTTTGGAATACGACCATCCTCCATGCGGGAGACATGTCCCAGGCAGCGCAGACGTCTTTGCTTCAGTATACAATACATTGATGGTATTTTTGCTCTTGTGAGCACACATTCGTTGGAGACAAGGTCTCGCCATAATATACCAAGGATGCGTCTCAGACAGCGCATATGGAAGGTATTCAGTCTTTTTTCCTGTGGAGCATAGAGAGTCCATGATTCGCAGCAGTACAATAATGTGCTCA